GATTTTAATACAGGGGAAATAATTATAATTTGCAGTGTAGTAAATAAAAAAAAACAAGTATATAAGAAACGAAAAATAAACATTTTTCTACCCAAATTAAAAAGTAAACAAAGAATAAAAACAAATATTAACATTTTTAATATATACTTAACGTACGGAAACAAAAAAAAAAAACAATTAAAAATAATAGATACCTACTTCTTTTCAGAATCAGATAATTCAAAATCGTTGTGTTTGGCATGCATGTTCTTTTTATGATGCCCTATTAATTCTTTGTTTCATTTTAAATAAAAACATAATGATTATCTTGTTTTTTTTATGGAGCCAACCTACAATAGTGGATGCTTTTACTCCAGAAAATTTACTAGAGAAAATATTCTTTGACCATTTCCTGAAGAATGAGGCAAACTTAATAAATTAAGAACAAAATTTGCTAGAGACAAAAACAGTGGATTTACTTAAAAACAGTAGATCTAGCAACGCTGATCGTTCCCTAGAATGGTTGTCTGCGGGTGTCGTGTAACCGGTCTCCTTGCTTCCCAAATGTACGGAGCGTAACATTCATGCACCTGTCATCCTTGGGGTCGCCCCTATGGTCTCCTGTCGCACCTACCGAAATAGTACCTTAAGAAACAAGTGTCAAAGCCATTTATTATTTTAAGGTTTAGGGAACCAATGACCTGCTTTTAGTGGCTATAAATTGTCGTCTTTTGCTTTCGTTTGAATGGTAAACAGATGTTTGAATTGTATTATATTTATTTGTCCTAATGTTAAGTAAATTACGGTAATATTTTATTTGCAAAAATTGGTAAAATCATGTCTTATTTCTAAACGTTGAGATTTCAGTTTTTGTTTTTTAAAGAGTTAATATATACAGAGGCGGGTAACAATATAATTTTATTATGTTTAGGTAAGCGGACATATGCTAATCTGGGTATCACTTTAACACATAGGATAAAGAATTCCGGTATAATTGTTGTCCTCTCAGAAAAATAAGGTGAGATTGTGGTGGGACTACCGCTTGTGGTTTCTGAGCTGTCATTTATAGCATGGATTTGTCGATAATTAGAGCAAAAGAGAAAAGCGCCGAAAAAGAGCCTTGAGCCACCCATAGTACGTGCGGAACCTCAATAGTAGGGCCTAAAAATGGTACTTTTTCCCCACGTCTATGGACAGAAAAGCCTGATAGAGGCAGGATGGATCTTAAGAAAAGATACCCCAAAAGTGGGCCTAACGGGCATCCCCCTTTATATCAGGTGTTCTGTTGTTGTCCAAGTTACTGTTATATATGCAGTGCTGAGCACAATCGTGAAATACGGTATTGGGATATCAGTGGAAAGGTATGACTCAAGATGAGTTTAAACTTCTCATTTACATATTTATATCCATATTCACATAATAATAATAATAATAATAATAATAATAATAATAATGTTTATTTTACTTCTTACATATATTTTTTTTTTTTTTACAAATAAATTCTCTTTTAATGTAAATAAACATGGGTTAGTCCGAAAAAACCATAAGGTTGTGCTCGGAAATTACTTCTGTTTATTAGTAGCGCCATAATTGCTGATAAAAATTAATAATTATAACAATAGACTTAAGATTAATAATCATACCAATAGTAATTACAATATTAATAAATGTAAATATGTGCATTAATAATAATAATAAATAATATACATGAATAATAATAATTAGTTGTACTAGCTGGCAGACTAATGATTAATTAATAATATGAACATGAGTATAATAAGAGTAGTTAATATTATTAAATTAAATACTTAATACAAATAAATATAACAATAATAATAATAATAATGCGTTCTTAATAAATATTATAATTAGTTAAAAAAATTATATAAAAAGAAAAAGCATTAGAATATAACAAAACAGAATTTTCAAGAACATGTAAAAACACACATTGACATATGAAATGTAGAATTAACAAACGAATTGTAAATTATGACAAAAAAAGATGAAAAGCATTGAACAATTTTTGATGACAACAAGAAAGCATGAAAATGATTACACTAATTTGGTTAAATTTGATTTTTTTTTTAATTTTTATTTTTTTAGAGATTACTTTAGGTTTAATTTTTATTTAGATGTTTTAGTTTAATTCAATTAAGTCATGAATATTTTGTCGACCAGTATTTATCAAAAAAATTTTGAAGATCTTTTTAATGTAGGATAAGGAATTTATTTTTCTTATATGGATTTTATAGATTTCTGGCAGAAAATTGTATATTTTAGGAGCTAAGAAGGTAAAACATCTTTGTCCTATAGTTTTTTTTAATAACGGGGTCTTAACAAATAATGACGATTTTTGACGAGTATCATACATGTGATCAATTTCATGTAATATGATTTTCTTATTTTTATATGTAAAAATTAAAACTGCATGGCAATATAACTGACGAATATCAAGCAAATTGGCCTCCTGAAAAAGTAGGTCTGTGGAAAAATGAAAAGGTTTTCTTAATAATAATTTTAGAAATCGTTTTTGGAGAATTTCCATACTCTTTAAGTGAACTTGGTACAGCCCACCCCATACAAGTATACCATATTGTAGCCTTGATTCAACGAGTGCATAATAAATAGTTTTTAAGTAATGAACACTTAAAATGGTACTTAAGTATTTAAATTTATAAAGTAAACTTCTTAGTGTTTTTGTTATATTTTGTACATGTTTGTCCCACTTTAAATTACAATCTATCGTAATGCCAAGATACTTAATATCATTAGCTTTTTTTATTATTGTATCCTTGTTATTTATATTGATTGTAATTAATTGATAATCGGGCATACTGTTATTGTAAGCAGCAAAGGGAATAAAAAATGTTTTTTCAAAATTAACAGTTAGTAAGTTGTGATTAAACCATTCCATAATTTTTTGCATATCATTTTCAATTTTTTTTTTGTAAATTATCCCATGTTTTACTGCTATAAATGATGGCAGTATCGTCAGCGAAACATAATATCTCACCAGATGTTTCTAAATTGAGTAGGCTATTTACGTATAAGGAAAACAGCAACGGTCCTAAAATAGTTCCCTGAGGTACCCCGTACTCAATATGTAAAACATCACTGTAACAATTCTTGGTTTTTACCGTTTGTGTTCTTTCTTTAAGGTAGCTTGTCATTAATTTGTGTGGTATACCCCTGATACCAAGATCATCCAAGACATCTAACAATTGAGCGTGTGACACAGTGTCAAATGCCTTGGCAAGGTCTAAAAATATGTTAATTGTAGGAATACTCTTATCTACCAAATTATAGATTTTTGATGTTAGTGTTTTTATAGCATCTACTGTAGACACACTTTTTCTAAATCCATATTGATTACTCGATATAAGGTTGTATCTATCTATAAAATTGTTCAGTCTTTTATTTAGAGCTGATTCAAATATTTTAGCTAAGCAAGTAATTAAGGAAATCGGTCTGTAGTTAGAAGTCAGTTTATGGTCACCTTTTTTGTAAACTGGAATTACAATAGATTGCTTAAAGAGTGATGGACATATTCCAGTTTGAAAAATTCTATTAATTAAATATGCAGTAGGCATTTTTATTTCATCAACAATATATTGAAGGGTTTCAGCTTTTATACTATCATGACCAGGTGCCTTGTTTGGTTTTAACGATTTAATAATAGTTTTAATTTCCATCTCTGTTACAGGTTCTAAGAAAAAGGTATGTATATTATGATATCTGGGGGGACACGGCGTATCAGGTTTTTGAATGCGTTTAGCGTAAGACACGCCAACGTTTGTAAAATATGTATTAAATAAATTTGCAATAGTTTTACTATCTTTTATTACAATATTTTCATTAGAACATATTTCAGTTATCTCATTTTTTTTTTCATTGCCACTTATTTGTTTAACTGTTTTCCAAAGACCTTTAGAGCTATTTTTATGTTTATCTATTTCATTTTGGAAGTATTTTCTTTTTGCTTCTGAGACAAGTTTTGTTAATTTATTTCTATATTTTATAAATCTATTTTTTAATTCCAAATTTTCAGGGTTTTGTTTGTGTGTTTTGTAAAGTTCGTTTTTTCTATTAATAGACGCTATGAGTCCGTCGGTAATCCATAACTTTCTTTTTACATCCTTTTTGTGTATCTTTATTTTATGAGAATTATCCTGGACTAATTTTATTATAATATTTGTAAGCTCCTTTGTCATGGATTCTACATCATCTAAATTGCAGAAATAAGTCCAGTTATATGTCTGCAACGTATCCTTAATTTTTTTGTGATTTGTATATATTTTTGTACGTTCAGGTGTTTTCATTTGTTTTTTATTTGGAAGAGCAATGAAGGTAGCTTTATGATCAGTTACATTAAGGTCTAGTACCGCTGATATAAAACATATCACTATACTTTTCTTGATACCGCTGTACTTCAGTATATCAGACAATACGTATTCAGGTATTCTATTTACAGTGTGTATAACTGAGGACTATAAGGTGATAACAAATATGCTGTAGTACTGTCATCATACTTTCACCGGTTCACGGGAGCTTAACATCCCTTCGGTTAGAAATGAGACATGGAAAAGACCACACATGTTAAACTAAACAAACATTATTGTAAACTTCCCGCTATAAGAAATAAGTTTAAATAAAACTATTCTTAATCTATTTTTGTGTTTACTTTCCTCCATTACAGCTACATTGAACTCTAAAAGAAAAATCACTTCATGGGTATCTACTAGACGTATTTTTAGACCAAGGTTTTGAATATTTGTAAAACTAAGTTAGGACCCGGTTCGTCAGGTTACAGTACCAACGCTATAAAAGAAATAGATATTCGCGACAATTCTTTTATTATTTACATAACGTATCCATTTTATTTTTTGTTGTTGTTTGTAAGGTTCTATAAAAGTATTTTATACAAAATAGTTTTTGCATTGAATTTCGAAAATTCTCTTCCATTTAAACGTCTAAAAATAACTTTTAATCGAATGAAAATAACTAGTAATACAAATACTCACCGAAGTCGTGGTCACCATCGTCCTTGATGGGTTTTTTATGATTGTCGGTATGTTCGGTTCATTTCCATTTGCATTGTTGTCCGTGGGAGATTCGCTCGCCATCTTGAACAAATTAAAAAATACATTCGTTAAAAAATATATATTTACTTATGCGATTTCAAATTTGTTCGAAGGTATATCAAATCATTTTAAAAGCAGTTTGATACCGTCCCAGCAAACATTTTCTATAACATTAGTTATAACTCGACTTTGTTGAAGACGAATTTACTTTTTGAGGTAATTATTACGTAAAATTGACTAGAAAAATATACCTCTAATGTAAATTTACCAAACGGTTTTAATTTATATTTAAATTTACGTAAATTATACCAAGAAATCTACCTTTTACACAAATCTGCTTAAAAGTAACTTTAACCATATCAGCAAGGGAAAAACTACTAAAAAAAATAACCAACAATTACTTCAAAGTTAAATTTCCTTTGTAGTAAAATTAGGTGCCATGTTTATGTAATATCTACCTGTTTGGCAACTAAAAATCGTCTTTATAGTAGAATATCCAACTAGGTAGATTTGGTTAAAAATTCTACGTAATTTTTTGTCTCCATAGTAACCTATTTGGCCGCTTTTATTTACTCTCCTTTAAAGTAATATTAGGTCGAGATCGTAGCAAAATTCTACCTGTTTATCTACCTAATTTCAACCAAATAGTCGAATACTCATTTAGTTGACCTATAAGTCATCTTGTAGAAATATTTATTAACTTTGTTGTAGCAATTACCTGAAAAATCTACCACAAAGTAAATTCGACTAAAAACCACCAATTTAAAAAAAATCATACATACCTATTTGTAAAATTTATATTATTTAGGTTATTTTAACAATTAGGTTGTTCAGTTACTGTCTTCGTCATTATTCTTAAGAATTTCGGCCATTTTAAAAAAACCATTACAGTCGTAATCTTAATTTACGTGTGGTGCAGATAGAGCTTTAAATGAGTGCGAAAAATAATTAATAAAATTTCGAAAAATAATAAATCATATCGTTATACTTCCGATTTTTATCGTAAAGTGAAACGTCTAAAATCTCAAGTGCAGAACAACGTGACCTAAATATGTTATATTTACCTATAGGTAAATTTTTTATAAAACCTACAAGTTATTATTTCTTTAAATAGGTAAAGTTAACTAATATGTCGTGAAATTGAAGTTAATTCAACTTAGTAAAAAGGTATTTGTAAAATACGTAGATTTCCTTAGTCATAATAACTTTTAGGTCGAATTCGCACAATACGCCATATTTTCTTAACGTAATTGAAGTACGATTCCAAATTTTAAATTTTTAAAATGACCATAACTAAAACATACGAATGAAAATACCGAAAAACGAAACATTATTGATTTTCTAAAGTGGTACACAACAAACGTAACATAGTTTTAGCTCATAATATTATTATTATTATTTTTTTACACGATCATATTTTTTTCTTATATTTTTTTTAATTAGAGAGTATTTTGGAAGGGCATTGTAATTTTTCTAAGTAGAACTGTTAACATGCACGACAAAATTTTCTTCGCATTAATTTCAACAAGCATGAACTGTATATTCACCGCAATGACATTACATATATTTTTGTCACCGACATTTATTTATTTTCAATCTTTCATGTGAATTAGGTATATGTTTAAGTTGTGTTGGTGACTTCTTACAATATTTCTACTTATATATAGATAAAAATACCAAATAAGTATAACATTTCTTTTCGTACACTTGGAGGCATACGTCATCTGCAAATATTTTGGTAGTTTCTACCTAAACTTAGTTAAATCAACGTCGAATTAACGTTATACTGACGTCAAATTTCCCTAGAGAGGTATTACTAACGAAACGTACTGGGCTACTACAATGTGGATTTAGATGTAATTCTACCTATTTTGGTAAATAAAACCAAATTTCGACGTCGTCTTATTCTCCACTTATGTCGAATCCACGTCGAGCCAACGTAAATTTTACTTAATTGTGGTTAAATCTAATTTTGCGACCAAATTTATTATATATAATTTAGGTAGTATCGACGTCAAATTACACCAAAATGTTTGCTGGGGTAATATGTTTGAAAATGCAGCCAAAATAATTAAATAAAAGATGGAAATATATTTGATTTAATTGATTTCCAAAAATCTATAATAGACTAACTACTAAATGCATCTACTGTTTAGGATACTAAAATTTATAAATTCTAGAGTTGGCAAAGTTATTAAGAAGTTGTAATATTCAATATCTCAATAGATCGACATCAAAGTAACTTGTATCTACTCCTATTCTTGCTAATTTGGCAAAATCCAGGTGTAGATCTAGTATCTATCTATATAGGATCTGATGTCCATGTTTTAGTTGTATTAAAAGTACAGAAAACATGATGTTGATGTGAATATATAAAATAAATAATGTGAATTGCACTTGTCTCTATTGTTTGGGGTGCGACCCTGGACTCTATCAGGTTACAGAATACAGGATCGAAGGGTGGAATCTGATATAAAAATTTATCCTACAGCTTATCATGAATTCGTAACTAAATAAACTAAATACCTAGAGAAAGTAAGGAATTAAATAGTATATGCCACTTGCGTAAACCCTTAAATAATAATAAGTCAATCAATAGATGCATGGTAAGTCGTTAGTATTGGTACCAATGCGAAAGACAATATTTCTTAACCCGTAAAATATTAATTTCTAACAAATAACTCAGTATATCATAAATGAAACAAATATACATTAGAAATATTCGTTTGTAAAAAAAATGGAATGTTACCTTAAAAAAAATAGCAGGCATAATGTCTGTACCCACATGAATCTTCAATATAACTAAAAAAACCTAAAGACAGGGTATCACAAAGTTATATTATACCTTTCTAAAAAACTGAAAGTTTTTTACCTACATCTGTACTGAGATCTATATTCTGTCATTGTGAACCCCAATATTTTGGTTACTGGTCAGCCGTGTGGCTTAAATAATCCTATACGTGGTAAATGTTTAGTTTGAGCTTTTTTCGATTACATAATAACTAGGTACTTGTAGGTATTGCTATTGTAAACAAAAAACCTAAGTTCCATATCTTGTGCAAATGAATAATAAGAACACAAATAATTTTTTCAAATAAAAATATGCTATTTTTTTCTATTAAATTTATCAATTTCACTGGAAAAGGAGTGAATAGGAGTGCTGGGTGGGTAAAACAACGTCAATACAGTCTGTTCGCTATACTTACGCGGGGTTCGTATTAAAAATTTTATGAGTATTTCCAGGTAAGTACCCGAAAGTTTGACCTGTTCTTTGGGAAAATATCAACTGGTTAAATGAAATGAAAAATAATGTACAGCCTTTTAATTAAATATTAATGGAGAATATTTTGTATAATTGATAGATAGCAGAATTAAACTTCTTCATTAATGGAGTCTAATATTATAAACCTAATAACAATTTTATATTACACTTCACACAGAAAATATGGTCTATGTATAATAAGAGGGTTATTTAGGCTCAAATAAAATATTTTCTAACATAAAAATTTGTTTCAAATAAAATAAAAAAATTGAACTTGCCAACAAAAATGAAAATCAGTCATTATCATCCAAAATATCATAATCGTCATCATCATCACTGCCATCACCATTAATTGTTATTATGATTGGACTTATTTCGTTTATTTTATTTTCACGAATCCACCAATCTTCTATTAGTTTCTCGCACTTGGATATACAGTTCCACCACACTTCTGGAGATGCAATTGAAAGTGCTTTTCGTCAAGTTTCCCGAACTGCGTCGTCACTATAACCATTAGGCCTAATATGGTTGTCATAATAGTGTTTTACTATTCCCCATATATATTCGATGGGATTAAACTGGCAATGATACGGTGGCAGACGTAAAACTTGATGACCGTAGCTTTCAATAATCTGATCCACAACAAAAGTTTTTGGTTTTGCGTGTATATTTGCCAAGCGTAATGATTCTGATTTTAATATATATTGAGGAAATGGTATATGATCCTTTGTCAACCATTCTTTAATTTTATCAACAATTCAAGAATTCGTTGGACTTTTGTTTAATACTTTAGAATGGTAAATAATTACGCTGGGCTCACTTAAACCTGGGAGAAGTTTTTCATGCAACCATTTTACAAACATTTCTGTGTTCATATTATCGTGGATATCACTGGATTTTGATTTAGATGAAAATACTAAATCAGCACCTTCTATAAAACCCGATTTCCCTCCTGCATGTAAAATTATGTGTCGCTTCTCTTCTCCATCGGTACGTTTGATGGACTTTACGTTATCATCTTGTCATATTCTCTTGGTTGCACCCCTAGAAAATATTCATGTTTTGTTTAAATATATAAAATTCGCCCCTTCTTCTTTAAATTTAGAATATTTTCTTAGAAAGTTAATTCTCTTGTGCACGACAGAACTTCTTTCCCAAAGGGCCTTACTCCTCTTAATTTGGTTTCACTAATTCCTAGAGCATCGCATACGCGATTTTAAAGGACCGCCATTTTCTTTTTCATCCTTAAAATACTAATGTACACTACAAATTAGACTATCTACATCTAACACACGTCTAGGCATTTTTAAATTTTCCTTTAAATTTACAATATACATACAATGTCAACACTTGCAAAGAATCAATTCAACTGCAATATTTGTAACTTGTAACAAATTTAGTACCTATCCTAATGTTATTTTAATTTAAATCTGACCATTAGCGCAATTTTACCTAATTTCTTGGGAAGAGGCTTATTGGAATTGGTTGTCAATGACTAATTTGCATAATTTTGTTAATCCGAAACCCGCGTAAGTATAGCGAACAGACTGTAGTTATAATATTATTCAATATTGTTATGGCAAGAAAAATTATTAGAAATGAATTGTTGCAAAACTATGTAATCTTCAAATATCTCGCAATACTTGTGCAACACCCTCTATATTAATAAAAAAACATTCTCTACTCTAATAATTAATTTGTAAAATATTTCTGGACTGTAAAAATGCAGGTGCAACTATCCGAAGACAGGACATCCGGTATACCTAATAAAATAACAACG